TCCCTACAGCGGCTAATGAACCAGAAGTCTCACACATTCACAGAAAACGGCTTACTTTCGAATTGAAAAATAAGGTTTATACTTATTCAAAAAACAGTATGATAAACAGCATCATTTAGCGAAATGTTTATTGCGCAGGGAGTGATGACTGAATCACACTGAATCAGTTATTTTTTTAAATATATTTTTGGTTCACATTTATATATGACACTGGAGAACTGACAGAAATGTGAAGGAAGAGAGAGAAGACAAGCTATATTGCGCTTTTGTCTTGGTACTGAAAAATGTAGTGAAGTTAGTAGTGTGCCTCCCCAACACCGAAGAACATAGTGTCAGACCTTGGCTCGAGTGTCTTTGAGCTGTGTCTCAGCCTCGAGCAGCAGCCTGTCAGCCTCTCTGAGTTCCGCTCTGCGCTTCAGCAGGGTCTTCTCCACACACTCCACCTCTCCCAGCCCACACTGCTCCTCCTCTGCACGTGATAAGGAGCCTTCCAGCCCACTCCTGATGAACCAAAAACAGAAAGGCATCTGATATTTTTGTGTACATTTCAGAGATGTTCATTTAGTGTGATATATTAAGTCTATATTGAGTAAGATATACTGGTGTTGATATGCTGACTGACGTATGGCGCTGCAGTGTGTGGACAGTCCTGCGCAGGCGTTTGATTTCCCGCTGTAGGTCTGCTGTTTTTTCTTGAAGTGCTTGCTGTTCTTTATCACTGTGAGCTCTATCAGCGCACTCCTCTTTCAGCCTACGCTCTGCCTTCTTCAGATCTCGCTCCTGAAACACAAACCAAAACTACTAATCTTGAAAATGATGGACATGTACATGCACACTACCAAAAGTTTGGGGTCAGTAAGATTTTTTATTGTTTTTGAAAGAACTCTTTTATGCAGGGGGGGGGTATGGAAGTTGACAACAAAATATCCAGAGAAAATACATTAATATGCTGATTTGGTGCTCAAGTAACATTTCTTATTATTATCATTGATGAATAGAAGTTCAACAGCATTAATTAAAAATATAAATATTTTGTAACATAATTAATGTCTCTAATGTAACTTTTCATCAATTTAATTCGGCCTTGCTGAAAAAAAACGTACTGATCCAAAACTTTTGAATTATAGCACACATAATTGGAATATGACCAAAATCTGATTACAATTAGAAAATTTTTGTAACATTTATACAGTACATTAAAATGATGTAATACAGTGTAACATTGTAGAGCAACTCGACAGTTGAAATCTGCATATCTCATACCAAGTCCTGATGTCCAGGCACATTACAGTGCAGCGTTCTACTGGGCACCAGAGGAATAGTCAGATTGCTGGGAGGAGGTCCGTACATCAGCCTGGCTCCATCAGGGGGCGGCCCATAGAGGACTGTACTTGAGCCAATGGGAAGTCCAGGCGCATGGTGATTGTAGATAAATGAACCAGGAGGAAATACAGTACCATCAGGTAGAGTAAATCCAGCAGAGACTGATGGAGGCGTGAAGTGTGTCTCTATATCGCTCTCTCTTCCACTGTCTCTGAACATCTGTGCATCTGAAGAGACATGAGGACAGATATTACAGCACTGACATGATAGTGACCATGATGACGTTGGAGAGAAAGACTCTCTTGCCTCTCTTTCCATGAGTGTGCGGATGGGGGGAATAGACCCAGTATCCTCCATTAACAAGTCTTCTCTCCCTGTGTGCTCTCCCGGCAGACCGCCGGCCTCTCTCAGGGGACTGTGGGTGCACAGAGCCCAGTCCTGAGTCTTGTGTGCCCTGAGATCCAAAACTAGGGGCCTGAGGACAAATAACATGCTGATTACAATAAAAAAATTGGCATTTACAAGTGCATTCCTTTTCTAATGTTTCTTACATTTTGATTTGACGGGACATAGTACCAACATCCTGTGTTTGGCAGGGGATCTCCTAAACTGGACAGGAAGTTATTCTGCTGTAGAAGAGTCTCCCTCAGTGCTCCAATCTCTTCCAGAAGCTCTTCTAGATTTACGTTGTTAGCTAAACAAACCACAATATATAACAAGACCCATTTTAGCCTTGAAGGAAATGTGCATGGTGTTTGCCCACAAAACATGCCACCATGATGCTAGGGTGTTTTGAGGAGTTATTATGAAAAGATGGTAAACAAACCTTTGTTTGCTTGTGCTAGTTGATCTCTGAGACGTTTGGTTTGGGCCTGTTGTCTTTTCAAGGTTTGGTTTAATCTGTCCAATTCTTGCTGTTGAATACTAGAGTTTGGGACACTGTGGAGATTCCCATCTGTCTCATGAACCTATAGAAACAAGCAACCATTCATTAACATATAGAGATGGGGACAGTACATTAGTAAACTAAAGCCACCATTTCACTATATCCAACACTATCTATCTCCTATCTACTTTACAACCAGCCTGAAAGTTCAGAGTGACCTCCACCAGGGACATTCGTACTCAGAATGTGGGAAATTGCAGATAAGACTGAAGACTGAAGATTCCGAGCAGACACATTACCCTATCTCTCGAAAGCTTCTGGAGAACCTTGATTTCTGTTTCAGCATTAGCCAAGTCCTGAATGGCCTGGGCAGCCTGAATCCTGCTGCTTTGTAACTCCTCTGCATTCTACACACATATAAACAGATCATCATCAGTGAACTTCTCTCACATTGATTTTGGTCCCGAAAGATCTCAAGCAGTCTGCCCTGTGTCTTACCGCTGCTCTCTCCTGATGTATTTTCTCTATAGTGCTATGAAGAGAGTGAAGTTTGTCCTTTGCTGCAGTCAGTTGTTGGGCAGCCATTCTGTCAGCAGAGGAAAAAGAGCTCCTGAGCGCCTGCAACTCCAGACTGAGAGATTCTAGCTGCTCCTGAGTCTGGCTCTCTTCAGCTTTCACCTAGAAAAACAACACACTTTTAAATACAAAGCTGCTTAAAGCAATATCGAAAGTAAAATACAAGTTAAGCTCTATTGTGGAATAAATTAATCATGGCATTTCTATAATGGCACTGGTAACTCTCATGCAGTTTCCATAGTTAGTTTCCAAACCTTACATTTGATTAAAGCTTCAAAATTATATATATATAAAAAAAATAAAAACATTACTAAAATATATTTATCACTTATTAAAAAGAATGGATCTGCTATGCTGCTGCTACTGGCAACAGTGAAGCTTACTGTTGAAAAATACTCAGAATTACAGGGATTAGGGTGCATATTCCTGCTTCAAAGTAAAGCAGGGAGAACCCCATAGCAGATCTAGACAGGTGGTGCTGGGGAGGAGGAGGGCTAAAGAAAATTCTCACGGCTCGCAGTACTGAGCTGGACCAGGTTGGGACAGAAATAAATAAGGTTGCGTAGACAGGAAAAAGAGATTGACTGGCTGTACTGCCAGCCTGGAAAAACCAATAATCCACTCTGAAGAATTTTCAGAAATTCAGCAAAAATAGAAGAAAATCAAGAAGGTAGCAAGAAAAATCAAATAAAAAAAATGAATAAATCACTCTCATTCTGGCACCTGTTTATCTTGTTCTTCTAATTCAGCAAGAAGACGGTCCCTGTCCATTTCCGTCTCCTCTAAACGTTGCAGCATCAAGTACTGCTGCTGATGAGCATCTTCCAGCTCCTTCCTCAATCTATGGAGCTCCACCTCCTCACCCCGTCTCTCTGCTGCCTGCTGGAATCAAACACAGGGAGATCAGCAGCACTTTATACTAAGACATTGTAATGGAATATGTAGGCATTATACTGGAATATGTGAGCTTTAGAAATGGCAATGTAACTGAAAAATCTATTTAAAATAATGATTACTTGAATTCCACAACATCAACTCACCTGAGCCTGGTATCTTTCTTGATACTTCCTGAGTCTCTCTGTGAGCGAACTCATCTCTCCAGCAAGTCTCTCCTGACAGCGCTGGGCCTCGTCTCTATCTCTCTGAGCAGCAGATACCACATGATGCACCTCCTGTTGTAGCTCCATGAATTTCTTATTCACTGGTTCTCCAAGGTCTTCAAAGCTGCAACAGGACAGAATAACAAAGACATATCGCCATCTGATAGACAGATCTATAGCCACACAGTCCACTTATTTTAATCTGCTAAAATATACAATAAGAATCTATAATACCTTAGTATTTCTTGTCCTGTAGCTATGGCTCTTCTCAGCTCTCCTAAATGTTTAGCCACACTTTCCGGGCAAAGCAGTTCCTCCCTAACCTGCTCCAAATCACACTGAAGAGCATCCACCTTCTCCTTAAGACTGTCTCTTTCCTCCTGTGAAAGACATTTTCAGCCAGGGATTCAAAGATGTGAAGGCTAAATGATTCTCATACATCAACAACAGCAGAATGTACAGCACACTTTTTTACAGGCAGTGAGAAGAGTTTGAATGAGTGAAGGGTGTCTGTATTTCAGTGGTCTTTCCAAGTATCCTCTCTTTCCAATAGAGGAAAAAGTCTGACAGAGCTTTATTATTCTGGTATGAAGTCTGTTGTGCAGTAACACACCTGGAGAGCATTGACCTGTTGCTGAAGCTCTGTGTTCTCAAGCTCTCTGTCGGCAGCCATCTGCATCTGTGCCAAAGCGTTCTCTTTTGCCTGTCTTCCTTTCTGCAACTCTGCCTGCAGTGCAGAGTGCTCCATCTGCAAATGTTAATGCCAAGAAAATGTAAATGTTAAAAAGATTGTTCACTCAAAAAGTACTAATATATTATGTCCCTAGTTATCTAATGCCATATGTATGAGGAACAGACTAAAACTTTACTTATTCAATGAAAATCTCGTTCACTCTTCCACATTTTCACATTTTAAAATTAAAATTAATATTTTAATTCAGCAAGGATGCATTAAATCGGTCAAAGGTGATAGGAAAAATTTTACATTGTGACAAAAAAATGTCAAATTAATGCTGTTCTTTTGAACTTTCTATATATCAAAGAATTAAAAAAACAAAAAACAAAATGAAAACAAAAATCTAACATGGTTTCCACCAACATATTTAGCAGCACAACTTTTCAACATTGATAAGAATAAGAAATGTTTCTTAAGCAACTTCCTAATTAGTTCCTAATTTAAATAAATGCTGTTCTTTCGAACTTTCATCAAATAATCCTAAAAATACCACAAAACTATTAAGCTGCGCAAGTTTTATGTTTTCAGTATTGATAATAATATGAAATGTTTTTTGAACACCAAATCAGCATATTACAATGATTTCTGAAGAATCATGTGACACCGAAGACTGGAGTAAAATAATAACCACTAAAATAATGACACTTAAAATATAATGAAATAGAAAACAGTAATAATATTTCACAATATTACTGTTTTACGGTATTTTTGATCAAATAAATATAATTTATATAATAATAAATTATGCTTGGTGAGCATAATGTTTAAAAAAATCTTTAATCAAAACATGAAAAAATATTACAGACCCTAAACTTTTGAACGGTAGTGTATGTTTAAGGCACAAGCTCCAAAATGAATGCAAACACTGACGTTTTCTGATCATACACATGAAAGTGTGAATATGTGAGATCTGAAAGGGTGAAAGATAAGATTTTCAGTGAATAATGACTTAAAATTCAGCTTGTTGATGAAGGATGTGATATGATATGTCCTCATCCATATTCTTAAAATATCCTTCATCAACAAGCTGAATTGTTGATGAAGGCGCTATCACAGGCACAGTCTTAACTTATTTTTATGGAAAAAGGCAACATGAATATTCAACCTAACATTTTGTGAAATTTAAAGGGGACCTATTATGCAAAAATCATTTTTATAAGGTGTTTGAACATAGTTGTGTGGCTGCAGTGTGTGAAAACAACCAGCCTATAATGGTACAAACCCACCCACTCATTTTTTTATAATCCCAATAAATTATAAACAGTCTCTCCAAACGAACGGTTTCAGATTCTCCCTCTGTACACGTCACTAAAGGGAAAAAGTCCCGCCCATTTGTGATGCTCTCTGCCCTATTAGCATACACACAGGCCTGAGTGAGATGCAGCGGTCAGCCATTACTGTTTTCCTGCTGTAATGTTAGCTGCTGGAGATATACAATGTCAGCCCAAAGAGGCATTACAAGTGTTGTGTTTTGGGATGCACCAATGAACATAGGAGTCTCCATAGACTCCCTCCATCTGAGCCGCTGAGGACACTGTGGTTAAATTTAATTTTCGAAGGAAATATCCCGGAAAAAATCGGTAAAGTCCCCTATGTTTAGGGATCAATACCAACGCTTCATGCGTGAACGTCAGCTCCAGACAAAGTAAGTATCATGCGTTTGTTTTCCAAATTGCCTTTCTGAAAGAGCTTCTTGGCACTCTGTAAGGCTAATGTTGCTAAAGCTATGCCTGTTTTCACTGGTGCTGCCTTCACGTGCTACCAGAATGATCGTAAATAGGAATGTGGTAGTTCAAAATTGCATGTGAAAGCAATATGAAGTCGACTGCTTGAATTTGTCGAGCTCATAATCACATGTGGGACTTATAAAGTTTGTGATAGCAGCTAAGGCACAATGAGACCAGCTGTCGTTATTTTTGTCTGTGTAATTCATAAACGATCATTTAGTATGCACAGTACAATCAGATGACTGACTTTTAATCCGAGTCCATTTTCTGTAAAAATAACAGGCTTGTACTAATAGTGGAATGTGTATTTGCAAAGACCAGCACCGGTATTGCCAGCCGGATCTTGAGTTCTTGAAGCTCCGCCCTCTTCTGAAAAGGGGCCGGAGCACGAGCTCATTTGCATTTAAAGGGACACACAAAAATGGCGCATTTTGGCTCATACCTTAAAAGTGGCAATTTTAACAAGCTATAAAAATGATCTGTTGGGTATTTTGAGCTAAAACTTCACATACACACTCTGGGGACATCAGAGACTTATTTTACATCTTGTAAAAAGGGTCATAATAGGTCCCCTTTAAAAAAAAGTTGGAAGCAGAATTTTTTTTTATTTCTAGAAGAACTACGCCATTGCATAAATAATAATATATTATGCATGAATATGAAAAAATTCTATGAAGATATATCCTACTTGACTTAGTCGACGCAGTCTGTTCAGCTCCTCCTTCAGCTGTGTGGCCTCAGTATCTCTCTCCTGCAGTTGAGTCTCCAGCTCTGCCTCATATTCACTGACCTGCCCCTGAGCCTGCTTCAGCTCTTCATTCTCCTTCCTCAGATCCTCCAACTCCTGCTGCTGATGCTGCAGTTCCTAGAACACGACAAACAGTATGATAATGTTTTGACCTATTACAGAGTGGTGAACTCTTATATCAGAGACAGACTCCAACCTCCTGTGCGCTTTTAGCACTCAGAGCTTCTTTCTGCAGCTGTGTGCATTGCTGCTCCTTCTCACATAGGAGGCATTGCAGAGCGTCTTTCTCCCTCTGCAGATGCCTGCAGTCTAACTTGGCTCTTCGTGCTTGGTCCTTCACCCCCTGCAGATACTCCTGGAGACCTGCGATGATGCCCTCCAGGTCACGCTTGAGTGCTTCATTAGCAGCGATCTGACCTGAAAGAGTTGAGTGGTTTCTTCTACTTATTTGATGATTTTAAAATGTCGTATTCATAAATTTATAATGGTTCAAAGACTATCTTTATCTTATTAAGGTTAAAAAGCATCATTTTAAAAAAAGTTGCTGACCATCAGTAAGTTGTTGCTCTAGTTCTTTTATCTCCTGTGTCTCCTTGTGGATGCGTGTGATCATGTCATCCAGCCTGCTCTCCAGTTCCTGGTGCTTTCTGCTCATGATGGCCAGCAGCTGTGTCTTCTTGGACAACTGAGCCTTTACATGGGCCTGCAGGAACGATAGCAGAGAGAGTTGGGATACAGTGCTATTACATGATCAATTCTGCTGGCCCCTCTTTGTCCAAGATCTCTAACTCAATAACTCTCTAAACAAAGCTGATATGTATCTTTGGTACTTCTTTTGTAATAAAAAATAAGTACTCAAAAATATAGGTTTATTAAAATATCAGTTTAACTTTGTACATCTTTAATGGTAGTGTTTTTTTTATTTTTTATTAAGATTATGCTAATATAACTAAAATGTAAATAATTTTAAGATTGATCAATTTAAGACTGATTCTGATGAACACAAAAGAAGATATTTTGAATAGTGTCGGTAACCAAACAGATGACAGTAGCCACTGGCTTTCATATATGTTTTAACTATTTCCCAGTATTTTTGACTATTTCCATAGTCAATGGCTACTGTCAACTGTTTGGTTACCAACATTCTACAAAATATCTGCTTTTGTGTTCAACAGCTGAAAGAAAGTCATACATGTTTGAAACAACTTGAGGGTGAGTAAATGATAACAGAATTTTCACGTTTGGGTGAACTATCCTATTCAGGCCAATTTATACCAAGGATTATAACTATAACAAATAATGATAACGAAAAAGTTTTAATAATCTTTACAATAGTCCACAACTGCAACAGCATAGCAACACCCTGACAACCACCCCGAACATTCTAGCATCCTGCAGGTGACTTTCATTGGCAAAGACCCTCACAGTTCTTGTAGTTCTTCTTTAGAAAAAAAAATCTAGTGTTACCAATAGGTTGTATTAATCATTAACATATTTAAAACTGATCTAGACTGATTATTGATTCCCAGTCTTTTCAAATCATTCTGATACAAATCCCAGAACTCAAAAAAGTCAATTCACTTACACTGAAAAAATTGATATAGAAACAATTTTCACAGAGAAATTGCTAGTCAATATTACAATTAATTACAAAGAGACAGCAGGTAACAAATTGAATTTAAATTGAAAATTACATAAGTTTTTAAATAAGTTTTAAATTAAGTTGAAGTTTTTTTAAATTTTACTTACAACTTTGAAAAAAATATATTTTTTACAGTGTACAATATCCAACCAAAATAACAATCCAAACAGGATGCGAATTGGAACGCAGGGACAGTCTTGGACTTCTGCATTTGTTACTTCTCAACCCATTCACTTCCTCTTCCCTCCCAACAAAAAATTATCTCAAAGTGAAAATGTAACACTTTCATTAAACATTAATTTTAAACAATGCCTCGTTCACAGGCAAGTCTGCTTTAAAACTTTAAACCAACACTATTTATATATGACGATTTCAAAGGTATATAGATTTATCTAGTGGTTAACTCATTAAATACTGTGCATTATTTTTGTCCACTGCTCTCATAAAATATGCAAGCCAGCAAACTCTGATGACATAATGCTTTTGCAATTTCCTGTAATAAACACTGAAAATGTAAAACATTCATGAAACATCATACTGTAATGATCAACTTTAAAAATGAAATAATGTTCAATGATGCTAGATACCAATAATCACTTCTACAAACAACTTTACAAGCCCCAAATTGCACTAGTATGACAGCAGCCTCCCACGAGCCCCTCCTTGACCCCAGTGGGGTACTTACTACAGCGGTGTGGCTGCCATCTCTTCACTTTCTGTCTCTATATATCCATTTTTCTCATGTTGCTGACCCACGAGGAGTAACAGGGGCTCCTTGTGCAGGAAGAGAACATTTCCTGTCTCTCTTAGCTGTTACTTTAAACTTCAGAGGTTTTTTTCCATGGACTCCAACTATCACTAAAAGTAGCCCCCTCTTCTAGACTTCATTCTCCCCCTCCTCCTCAATCCCTGCACTCTTTCCACCCTCCTCTCAACTCTCTTTGAATCAACACAGGAAACTTTCGGCGGTCTCAGCCAATCAGTGTCTGTGTCTGTAGCCGGGTGGGAGTAAGGAGCCTCTCTGGCTCCACCCACAGCATCAACAGATTTCCCAGGACAGAAGTGCTCTCTTCTTTCTTAAAGAGACAGGAGCTTCATTTTATAAGCCTGCTACTCGCTGCTGAGCATCATGGGTTAGTGATGATTAATTCCATAGAGAACCTAATCTTGTTATACACCTTTGTTGTTAGGGAGTTTCCAGTTATTTTACACTCATTTTGTCCTACACTGTTTGCATGCCATTTTCTTCAACAGAAAACAGGAAGACGTGCATTTTTTTGTTGTTATATAACATAAATAAACTAATGATCTCACATATGAATAAAATATCTGAATAGTTCAGAGGCTTATGGTATAAACAACACAACATATACAGACAATAAAACGCTTTACAGTCATGAAAATGATTTTGTGGCATTTGCAGATGTTGTTGAAATGTGCAACTGTTATTCCTGCAGAAAACAGGTTCTTGCCTATATCTATAACATAAAGCATTATCTGCAATAAATGCAATATTTGTTCTAAGCGTATTTATCAATTAGATTTCACATTCCAACTATGGTAAAATAGCAAATATAGACAAACTTGTACTGTACATTAGTCAAAATCAATTTTAATGCTTTAAGCTGTCTAGCAACAGCCAACAAAATATTAGTCATTTTGACAGAAAAATAATGTATAATGTGAAATATAAAAAATGCTACAGTAAAACCTGTTAATTGTTAAAGTGGTAACTAATTTTTCTCCATATATTGAACTTACTCACCAACATGCAATTTAAAAAAAAACATTTTTTTGCACGTAAAAAGTATAAATGACAAATAAAAAGTTTATATTACAAGTCTTTACATGTACACTACTGTTTAAAACACTTGGGGTCTGTAAGATTTTTTAAATGATTTTGAAAGAACTCTCTTATGCTCCCCAAAACTGCATTTATTTAAATAAAAAATACATTAAAAACAATAATATTGTAAAATGTATATAAAAAGAAATGTTTTGTAACAATGTAAATGTCTGTACCATTACTTTTGATCAACTGAACATGTCCTTGCTGAGTAAAAGTATTAATGTCTGAATATATTTTATTTTGTTTAATTAATGTTTGTTGGATTATTTTAGTGTCATGTACTTGTATTTATATCCTGGTGCTATTAGTCTTTGTGTAGATTAATTAGCCATTATTTTTAAAATGTCCATTAAAATTAACCTTAATTCTTAATAATATGGCTATCTGTATTGTTGTATCTAAACTGTTTACAGTACAAAGAAAATGTATATAGTTTAAGTATGTTAGTATATTATCATTACATCAGTTCATGAATAACGATACATACTTTGATGAACTATAAAATAAAACATTTATACAGTAAATTTCTAGCGACCACTGCTTTATATACTGTAAATTTAACAGGATGTTTTACAATGTTCAGTTAAGGCTAATAAATTGCATTACTAAGAATTGTTTTAGCAATTATTGTTAGAAAAACATTTATTTATTGAACAATTGGTGTGTTTTTCCCTACTGTGTTATGCAAATAATAATCCTCAAGAGAATTATTTTCACGAGGCTGTTCAGGCATGAGTGTTACTGACATGTCTGGGGTCACTGGGATCCAGGCTGTGCAGTAGATTCTGCAGCTGGTCCGTTTCCTCCTGGGCTTGGTTCCTCTCAGCATTCAGTCTGTCCAGCTGCCTCTCCACAGCCTCCATCTCTCTTCTCATCTCTCCCAGCCTCTGTATCCTCCTCTGAAGCTCCTGCCTGAGCTGATCCTTCTCAACCTCACAGATCTATGTGCAAATCAACATAGATTAATTAAATAATAAAAAATTTATCTGAATGTGGACTCTGCCATTAAGTTTTACTTAGCTAGTGGTGTTTTTTTGTTTGTTTAAAAAGCCATTCACATAAGACGTTTAAAGGGGAACATCTCACCCGTCTCTGAGAAACTGTCTCCTCTAGCTGCCGGAGCTCTTCACTGGCTTTAAGGATCTGCTGCTCTTTTGCCTCAATTTCTTTATGCAACTGCTGTAATCGATCCTCAGCTTAAACCAAAACACAACACAAAACACAGATGCATTAGCAAAAGTGCAGACATGTGGATATTTCAGTGGCCACAAAAAAAAAAAAAAAAGAAGGGAAAATGTCCTTCATCATTTGTTGGTAGCACTGGTAATAAGAGCAAACTACAGATTGTTCCAAGTAAAGAGAGTAAAAAAAGGAAAAGCATGTGTAATGTTATCATTTTATGAATCTATTTAGAGCCTTTAATATAATATGAGGGCACAGTGCCCTTGAACTTTTGTACCTCTAAGCTGAGCATGTTGTCCTGGGGTGTCTGTCTCAGTCAGGTCCGCTGAGGCAGGCTGCTGCTGGTTTTGTGCACCCATGCTATCCGTCTCTGATGGAAATGTGATGTTCCTTTTCTGACGAGACTTTCCTATGTATGGACTCTCGCTAGAAAGGTTCTCCACCTCCATCTCCTGAACAACAAAGAGAATAGTCTCTCTAAAAATCATATAATCCTACCAGATACAAATCAGCATTGTATGATATAGTTCTAAAATGGACATTCTCGGATAAATGTCTATAAAGAAACACGCTAATGTCAAATATACTGTTGTTATTAGGACTAAAGTAAAGTCATTTGAAGCTTTTGTATTTCAGAATTTAATCATCAAAGATCAAATGTATGAAATGTCACCTATGAATGAATCAGAATGTAACACAGTTAAAGCCTCGTGATGACCAATAATCCTATATTATTATAACATATTATTTTGTTTTCTTTGCTTAAAAGTGGAACTGAATCAATTAAAACTTCATATACTGTACTACATTTTGAATGATGCACCACCATTCAAAAGTTTAAAGGGGTCATATGATGCTGCTAAAAAGAACATTATTTTGTGTATTTGGTGTAATGAAATGTGTTTATGCGGTTTAAGGTTCAAAAACACATTATTTTCCACATACTGTACATTATTGTTTCTCCTCTATGCCCCACCTTTCTGAAACGCGTTGATTTTTACAAAGCTCATCGGTCTGAAAAAGCGAGGTGTGCTGTGATTGGCCAGCTATCCAGTGCGTTGTGATTGGCCGAATACCTCAAGTGTGTGACGGAAATGTTACACCCCATACCACATTGTGATGATGCCCTGTCAGGCCGGAGCGATGATTCAAAAACATGAAAACCCATTATAAACGAGGCATTCGTTGCATCCAGTGGGGACATAATTATGACTTATACTGTCCTTTTACGCGTTGCGTTGCATTGTGCCGCGTAAACATAAAACCATGTCTGCATTTGTGATCGGAGAAATGACAAACAACAAGCCCTACTCTACACTGCCCAAAAAGGGCGTGTTAGAATGAGCCGTTTTAGGTAGGTGTGGCTGACTCTTAACTTTTATAAAGAATATCTCTTTGGATTTGAGACTTTAGTCTTTGCAACTTTACAGATCTTCTTTATGCACCAAGAGCTTGTAACACTCCAAAGAGAAAGGAAAAATTGAAATCGCATCATATGACCCCTTTAAGGTCAGTAAGATTTATGGATGATAATAAGAAGAAATGTTTTTGAGCACTAAATCAGCATATTAGAATGATTTCTGAAGGATCATGTGACACTGAAGACTAAAGTAATGGCTGCTGAAAATTCAGCTTTAGTGATAAATATATTAAAATAGAAAACGTATATAGTTACACTATTACATTATATTTTAAATTGTAATAATATTTCACAATATTATTGTTTTTACTGTATTTTTGATCAAATAAATGCAGCCTTGGTAAGCATAAGAGACTTCAACCCTAAACTTTTGAACAGTAGTATAAATTTAGAGACCAATAAAAAAAAAACTATAATTAATCCCTCTAACACAAAAAAGAAAATCACAATGAGTAGTCAATTTTTATCCATCCAAAGCTCTAGTTATTAATAAATCAAAGCAAATACTTACAGGATCTGGATAAAACGGAAGAGGTTCAAACTTGGCATCTATTTTGTGAAAAGCCAACTCCTGCTCAAGCTCATAGTGTTTCTGACAGGCCCGGGTCAACTCCACTGTTTTCTGCTTCAGCTGTGTAATAAGAGAGAGCTTATTTAAACACAACACTTTACATACCACCATGAAACACATCAGCCACACTTCACTACAAACCTCTCAGCTCAGAATGAGATTGCATCTTAAGGATACGTGTAATACAAAATTGTTACACTCATGGAAATACACAAAGCAATGAATGATATTTTAAGATTTCTATTAATATAGAAGGCATACATGCAAAAACCTCAGAAACATGCTAAAGAACATAACAATACCATACCATCAACATCGCTCTCTAAAGCGAACACCTGAGAGGACAGGAGAACACAGTGTTGACATCATACAGTGATTGGTGGGGCACATGTGAATACCTGACAGAGAGAATCGAGCAGAGGAGTATGATGTGGAAGCTGAGATTGAAGCAGGAATGAAGAGAAGAGACAGTAGAAGTCATGCAAACAGTTTATGTAAAAGCACAGGAGTGAAATATACAAGAAAAATCAGCAGGGAAAAGAAAAGTTTGAAGGATAGAAAAATTTGCTTTGCCAACATAGGAATCAATGACATTTGACAACATATTCATATAGAAAATAGTTATTTTAAACTGTAATTATATTTCACAACATTACTTTTTACTATATTTTTGATCAAATAAACGCTGCCTTGGTAAGCACAAGAGATTTTTTTCAAAAACATAAAATTATTAAATTATTCAAAACTTTTGACTGGTAGATTATATTCCTGTCATTTAATTTGTAAATAGTTTACAATAAATAAATACTGTGCAATGCAGTGAAGGAATTAGCATTAATTTGCTGTTCTAATAGTTTGAAAAGCTCCAGTTCTTTTTATTTTCAAAAGCAGGCTCTCAGAGAAGTTCTGTTTAAACAGATGGTCAATGAGGCAACAACACACACACACATACATACACACACGCACACACAAAACAATTTTAAACACCATTCACAAAGTACCTTTAGAGCAGGTGATAAAAGCATGGAGTGAGAAGAGAGCTGAAGAGGAAATTGTCTAGAAAAGACAGGAAAGGGACATTTTGGAAAGTGAATCTCTGGGCTCACTGTGAGTTTGTAAGCGCAGAGATTTGGAAATTAATCTGAAAGCAGACATAAGGAAGTTAAAGATTAAAGTCAACATGACATTATTTTCACTAACATTATTTCCATAATAAGTCAAGATGTTTCAGATATGGAGCAAGTTATTCAATTCTGAGGATGAACTAAGATAAATCATTTTTTCTTTGGTTCTTTGGATTAATATGCAGTGATTAACTGCATAATAACATCAGGACAGCATATTAAGGCAAGACACCACAGGTGAATAGAGCAAATATTTTAACTAACAGATATCACAATACCTCCCCAGTTGATTAATCACAGTACATTAAGACAACTGGTTTTTATTAGATGTTATGAGAATATGCAAATGAGGCATTATCTAATTAAATATGTAACATTAAATTAAATATGTACATTATCTAATGAATTAATTTGCATACATTTCCAGAACAGAAATCTAAACATTTGTTAAAGCCTGACTCAAAATTCCTGTTTCAAATTGTTGACATATTTACATTTACATTTAGTCATTTAGCAGACGCTGTTATCCAAAACGACTTACAAATGATGACAATAGAAGAAATATAAGTGTTGAAGGTTTCACAGAGGAGGTTTTGGACACCTCCTTTCACTTTTTATCATAAATCAGAAAATGCTGTAACAGCCAAAAAAAATTTTTTAGGAACAAAATGTTATATAAATAAATGGGATTGACATATGAACAAACCTCTCTGTAAAAAATGGAAAGTCTGGTGTATGTAAGTGCTACTGAAGTGGGAATGTTCAGCTCAGTGCATGAGAAAAAATTTATTAGAAACAGCCGTTATAGAAACGTATTGTAATTGTTGTAAAAAGCATAGTATTTCATTTGGCTTTAAAAAGAGTTTTTTCTTTAGGTGGTGCTGCCTAAGGAAATGCTCTAAAATTAAAATATTGTTTACATGTGATATTACAGTTGTGTTGGAGGACAAAATGGTCAACCCTATTCACACTGAGGTTGATGACAGTGAAGACGCCATTACCCACCAGTTCAGATTTGGTGTCAAGTTCTCTCCGGAGTTCCTCACGGCTCCGTTGTTGTTCCTGCTGCTGTTGCCTCAGGTTTTGGTTGAGCGTTTCCCGCCGCTCTAGTTCTTCCAGGGCTGTGGTCCGCTCTCTCTGAAGCTGTGCAATCTCTTCAGCTCTCAACTCCAGCTCTTGCTCCAAACGCTCCACTTCCTCTGTAAGGACAGCACAAAAAGTGTTCAGATTATAAAAGCACAAAAGAAGATAAAATAAATGTAGAAGATGAGATGATGTACCCATGTGAAAGCGCTGATGTGCTTGCTCTCTTTCCTGTGGACTGATTGGTTGTCCATCCAACATTTCCAGTGACCTCAGATGGAAGATTAGGAAGAGGTGATAATGGGGCAGGCTGGAGATGGGGGTTTCTGCTAATGACAGACTCGTCAGGTTCTTCAGGGTCTTCAGTTTAGTTATTTCATGAAGCTAGGTCACAAATGGAGAGAATGTTGCTAGTAACATAAATGTGTATAAACCAAAACTGAATATCAGTGATTTACTTTTAATGTGAAATATATGATATTAAAGGAACATTCACCCAAAACTGAAAATTATGTCATTACTATCACCCTTACTTCCAAATCTGACTTTTTTTATTTTTTTATTCTGCCGAACACAAAAGGAGATATTTTGAAGAAAGTTGGTAACCAAACAGATTTGGTGCCCTTTGACTTTCAGTGTACTTTCCACAGAAGAAAGAAAGTTATACAGGTTTGAAATGATATGAGGGTGAGAAAAACAATTAAAAAAATTTAACATTTTTATTTTTATTTTTGGGTGAGCGATCTGTTTGAGGACTCTTTTGTTGATTGGCTGTTTTAAACATATGACTAACAAAAATTGTACCCACTGAGAATATCTTGTTTCTCTGTAGATTTATAGTATGAAGAGATCTGAGCTTCTTTGCTATCCAAACTGGAAGATGTTCAATGTTGTTGAAGGCCAAATTCAGAACCTGAAGATTTGACATGTGCTCTAGACCTTCAATTTTTCTGCAGATAAATGAAATATGTCAAAACTTGTATTGGCCTTTAGGACATTGTATCTCTCATTCTGTGACAAAACTATGAAATATATATTGTGAGAAAATGTTTCTTGTTAAGCAGACAAATGTCACATTCTTACCGTATCCTGTTACTGGAAAGGTGGAGTTCCCGTAATTGACATAGTTTCTCTAGTTTCTCGATTCTCTCGATCCTGTTGTTACTGAGGTTGAGAATGTGTAAGCGCTCACACTTATCCAAATTTTCAATATACTAAAAAAATAAAAAATGCACAGAAGTCAATAAATTACTGCAAAAATGAATGCAACTAATGTTACCTCTCACACTGAGCAATAACCAGATAATGTCCAAATCTTACTCTAAACTGTTTGTCACTTTCTGCAGACGTAGACAAATCCAGGGTCCCCACAAGGACTAAATTTTCACATTTAGTCAATCTCCTGATCAGGTCTTCTGTGATGTATCTTGTCCCCTTATATTGCCTTTTGTCTATGAGTAGATGTTTGTGTAAATGAGTGACAAAATTCAAAGTGCAGATATTAAAAACTACTGGTGGCAGCCAAGCAATTAATGATCTGACAAGCTGAAATATTTTGCTAACTACTATGTACTTACATCAAAAAATAAGTACAATGTACTTATTGTGTTTATATTGTATTGCACAACACTTTTGCTGCTGTTATTGAGGTGGGATACGGGTAAGGTTAGGGACAGGTTTGGTGGTATGGGTAGGTTTAAAGGTGGGGTAAGTTACATCAAAAAATAAGTACAATGTACTTATTGTGTTTATATTGTATTGCACAACACTTTTGCTGCTGTTATTGAGGTGGGATACGGGTAAGGTTAGGGACAGGTTTGGTGGTATGGGTAGGTTTAAAGGTGGGTTAAGGTGCAATTAATTACAGATGTAATTACATGCAGGTATTTAAAAAAATATATATAAGTACAATGTAAAAATGTGTATGTACACAATAAGTGAATTGTTACAAATTATTCATTTAAATGTAAGTTAAGGCCACCTAATATAACGTGGGACCCAATCTATTTACAGACACTGTTGTCTTTTTGGTTAACAAGTACACTAACTGGTAACGAAACTGTACTAGGGTCAAAACTGTTTATGATGAATGAAAATCATAATAATTGAACAAAAAAAAAGGATATTTTCACACTATAAATATTAAAATGATTAATGCTTATTTCAATCTGTTTTTTTAAACAAGAAATAATTAACATTTTACTGATGGAGTTCCATAGGTTTAGAGTAAAAGGTCTGAGACAAGAGTAAAACAAGAACATCTATACATAAAAATGAAAATACCAGAAATAATGAAGGCATGGTGAAATCAGTAAGTTTTGATAAAAAAAAAAAAAATCAACCCCTAGGATACAAACCCAAAGTTGAAGAAACATCCACTTGTTGAATGACTTTAATAGGACCTAAAAAGACAGACAAGAGTGGCTCCTGTACAGTCATGGCCAAAAGTTTTGGCAGTGACATAAATTGTGTTTTGCAAAGTTTGCTGCTTCAGTATTTGTAGATTATTTTTCCACAATGTGAGGCCATTTTGATGCAAAGCGATGATGGCTGCACGTGTTTCTTTGGAGGTAACCATTGCTAACAAGTACACAATGATTGGAAGCGCTTCTTCCCTCCTTTTATAGCAATCAGTCTGCTCTTACAATCTAATTTGTATGATAGTGATTTCACCTGACTAATACTCATTCACACTTTCACATGTGCTGCTGATATGATTAGTCAATTAATGTTAGCTGGTCATTTTGGAAGGGAAGTCGTGGCCTAATGGTTAGAGAGTCGGACTCGTAACCCAAAGGTTGTTGCAGGTGGGGGGAGTGAATGTACAGCGCTCTCTCCCACCTTCAATACCACGACTGAGGTGCCCTGAGGTGCACCAACTGCTCCCCGGGCGCCGCAGCAAAAAATGGCTGCCCACTGCTCCGGGTGTGTGTTCACAGTGTGTGTGTGTTCACTGCTGTGTGTGTGCACTTTGGATGGGATAAATGCTGAGCACTAATTCTGAATATGGTTCACCATACTTGGCCACATGTCACTTCACTTTCATTTTGTGTCAGGATCAAAAACAGTGAAATTAGTTTTTTTGTGTGAAAAGTTCATTTTTTGGCCAATGAGCTTTTAGCAATTATTTAAAATGCATCTGATTACTCTACACAATAATCTAGAAACAATGTGAATGAACACCACAACAGCTTAAGCTTCAAACTTTGCAAAACACAAACTTTATGTCACTGCCAAAACTTTTGGTCACGACTGTACTGTATGACATATGTAAGCAATAAAAACTGATTTACCATCATCACTGGGATCTTCTCGAAGACCTCCATCCTCAGTCTCCGACCATGAGATGGCGTTTGGGGACACAGTTTTGCTCTGGAGGCTCTTGGAACATTTGGATCCCGCTGTTGGTGATCGTTTGCGCATCTGATCCCCTCTTTTCATTTTATTCTCATGGGATATTAATATTATCTGATGCCAGCGAATACGATGCTTATCCTAAACCATCTCGACTGCTAAAACGTTACTGCTAACATAGTAGTTTATTTTGCTTTGTTAAAATTACAATGACCAAATCCAGTCGTGTCCAAATCTGACTAAATGCAAAGAACTATAGTCATCTAATAACTACAATTTTTAATATATATTATAAAGCAGTTTTACATGTAAGTACATGTTCATTCAATGTTTCACAAAGACTGGACAACTTTTGTTAGCCCAGTTTCCATAGCGACCCATTAGGATACCTATATTAGAGATCATCCAGCGACCATCAGGTTATTATAATTTTTTCTTAGAGAAACTGTCAAAGCGGATACAAGCCTGTTATGTTTATCTCGTGTCCCAGGTCTCATTATTTAGTCCATGTGTTTCTGAAGGTTTTAAACCGAGCTATAATTCTCTTGTTGTCTGAATCTCTAACATGCACTCAAAGGATTCGCGGTGATGTTTGGATCATGTGACGCAGCTGCAGTGGTTTCAAAATAAGAGTCCTGTGCATATGTCTATGGTCGTGTCCCCTCAAAGCAGACTTTACATACAAAAAAACCTGAAAGTGTTTTCACACTAGTGTTAAGCAAAATAATATATAATAACTGCATGTACATACATGAATAACAACTAACACTTTCCTAAACATCTGTTGCAACGCAATGTTTGAGGTAAATTGCATGTAATGCTTTTTTTGTTTAATGTTGCATATGTATGTGGTTGATAAGAATCACATATTTTGAGGTACTTTGAAAAAAAGTTTTATTTAAAAGTGTCTGTTTATTCCCAAATTCTTAAATGCCATTTTTTTGTTATTATATTGCTATAGAATAGAAGAGCACACAAATTAGCTCTTCTATTGACATGCAATTTATCCCTTAATTTTAACAGCCAGATAATAAGAAATCAAATTCAAAATCCTCCAAATCACTGGCGTATTGTTTGCAGGCAGCATCTCTGCAGTCATAGTTAAGTGGCCACCAGTCAACCCAAGCATGCGAGTCCAAAGGAAACTTATACCTAAAACATGGTTTAAAGAAAATCAGTTTTGAGGCTTCTGTACATAATAGTAAATGAGAAACACTTTATAAAACGTCATACTAATTGACCCTACAACGTAACCAATTAAGGAATTAAATACATTTTTGATTAATTTGTGGCTTTTAAAAAATTATCAAAGGAAAACCAACCAACCAAACAAAAAGGACATATAACCACAATTCACTTTTATCTTAATACTTTCAGCAGTCATAACCAGATACTGCTTGCCAACTTCGAAATTTGTTGAACTGCAAGTTGCCTTTTTCACCAAATCAATTTCTGAATCTGTTTTTAGGTCATCTCTTTGTTCTGCAGAAGAGAATTTAAGAGGTTGAATTGAAGCTGTTATGAAACTTGTTTCTTTAAATTGCTTATTCAAGTCATTTTGTTTTGAACCATTCAAATAATTTACAACTTGACTTGCTAACAAATCATATTCAATATACTCTTGCCTTTTTTGAGCACTGCTTTAACTTTTGCTTTGTAGGTCACGAAATCTCCTGCTGCCTCAGATGATTTAATTAACACTTTAAATGCTAGAAAAAAAAACACACACACCACAAATGACATGTACCATTTTGCACGTGTATGTGACAATAATGTCTTGTGACTTGAAGCTTCATGAAGGTCAGTATTTACCATATTTCATGCTTTCTTTACACACTTTTTAAGCCGTTCAGCAGTGATTGTGGGATAAATTGTGGATTTAAAATTGCAGCATTCCGTTAATTTGAAAAAGGACATGAAAATACCAACAAACTGTTATAACACTAACACAGACACATTGAACTCACATATGTAAATGATAACTGCATGAGCGGCAGTATAGTATAGTAAATGCATTGTTACAGGTCAGGATTGACAGAATTGCCCTGGGGCCCCTAGAAGTGAGACACAACAAAATGATTCATGATTTTTGTTGTCAATTGTTTTATTTCTGTCATTTATATGGCTTACCTGCCATCAGTGGCGGAGCCAGAATGTTTTCATAGGGGTGGCCAGGGAGGGGCCAGCAACCAGTCTGGGGTGGCACAGAAATCTTAATTATTTCAATATAAAAATGTGTTTAACTATAATGTACTGGACTGTTTTCGTGCCTAAAACACAACTGAGTACAATTAATTTCTACTTAACTGTAATTGAGATATTTGTGAATTAGATCAAGTAATACTGAGTGAATATGACAATTTTTGTATTATTCCTCACCTCCAGGTTTTTTAATAAAGGGGCTCACTGTAGCTTTATTGCTCAATCAGCTTCTCAAAACTCCCAAATGCTTGCTCTCCAACATTGCATACTCATGGATGAGACATGCCAGATAGTGATAAAAATGTGAAAAAGGTTATATTATAAAGAGTTATTTTATGCATTCAAATGGTTTCATTTAGCATATTTTCTAGTATAAGTGCACTGTGCTCACATTTATTTGTGCATTAAATTACAAATAAAAAATACATATCAGCTTGTGCCTTATATTGTGATCTCGAATTGCAGAATATATTTTTGTACATGCATTTGAGAGACGTTCTTGTGTGCTGCGTATACATGCTTGCAGCTTTAATCGCCTTTTTTTTGGCAATTCCATGACTTAGCTGACGACAGAACTAATATATATGCTCATAGTTTCTTGTGCGGGTAACTTATGATGAAGTGATATAGAGCGTGCGCCACATATTTGCGTACTGTTGAAGAGTGTACGCCGTGAGCACAGTAAAACGGCTGATGGGACAGGAAAGTGTGTTTTACTGACATATAGTCTAACAACATCTCATCAGACCGCAGTTCACAGTTGTTCTACTGAAGCTCGTTTGGCTGCTGTAGCTTTAATTTCCGCGCTCGTTTGACTCGCGCCTGACGCTGAGGTGAAGCTGAAGTGCATTTCTTGTCAAGAAAAAAAAAAAGGACAAAGCTGCAGTTTGTAGTGGGGTGGCCAAAGTGGTAGCCAAGCTTTCGTCAGTGGTGGCCACCCCCTGGCTCCGCCCCTGCCTGCCATGCAATGGCATTGGTCTCCCTCACAGAGTCGTAACAGTCTGCGGCTTTGTTTGTGGTACAACTTCATACACTTATTTTCTATTAAAAACCAGATGAGAAAGCTGGTTTATGTAGTTAAAATAAGTTCAGCCAGACATAAAACAAACATTTGTAGAAATGCTATACCTGGAGCAAAAAATTCATAAACTCTACTGAGGCTCTGGGTCATGCCAACTTCAAATTCCTCTTGAATATGGAAACCCACACAGTATACGTCTTCTGATGGTATCTGTATGGTAGAAGTAGGCTATTGCATGGTAGAAATATTCAACAAGATCAAATACACATCATATTTTAACAGAAATAGCTAGAGATAATAGAGTTTTGCTCAGTGATGCTCACCGAATCTATCTGAAGGATGACTTGGTCACCTGTGATGTTATAGTCTGATATCCGAGACTCAAGTCCATTCTGCTTCTGCAAAATATAGAAACATAAAATGTCACTACAATTTTCTAAAACAATGGATGGTTTCTATGAAAATGTATTACCATATCTAGATCTTCCTGGACTGGGGTCCCAGTCATTGACTCCTTTTCATTTGAATTTTCAGGTGGCTTGTATCTTCACATATAATGGCATTTTCATTTGAATGGATTTTACAAATCAGAATTTTACAGAGAAGCTTAAAACATGTAATTTCTTATTGGGATTTCCTACAGACTTTCTTTGCACATGCAGGCCACAATCCGCTGTGACAAAAGCATAGGATGTGCTCACCAAGAAAATCAAATTAGCTGAACCAAGTTCATTTTAAAAGTAAACCAAGAGTAGAAAAGTAGACAATAGTACCAAACTTGCCATCTGAATTTGGGACACGTTCATGAATGATAATTGATCAATCAAAATGGCAATTTTCATTGTTTTCTGTCATCTCATAGTACACTGTTCTCAGCTGTAAAAAATAAGTTAATCAATTAATGAATTTGGTTCCATGCATGAAAAAAAAAAAAAGAAACTTCTGGACTGTTGTGGGGTTTATTATATACACTGTTTAGATAAAAGCGTCTGCTAAATGACTAAATTTAAATGTAATGTAAATGTAAATACAAAATAAATTTTTTACAAAAAATATATACTGTATATACACATGATTTGCATTGGAGTACCTGGGTTGAATGGACCGTATCTCTGGTCTTGTGTTAACCAGTTCAGGATGGGTTAAAGTGTTAAGCAGTACGTAAACAGTAGTTTCCACGGTCTTTGCTGTCACATCACTGGGTTTTAATAAATCCCTGTCTGGTTTGGACTCCTGCCAGAAATTAACTGTGGCTGGGTTCCCTGAAAATGTGAGAAGTGCGGACAAATAGGTCATATTGTGTTAAAAATATGAGAGGGTCTAATCTGTGCAGATTTTTTGGTCAAAAGTGTCCCAAATAAGATTTTACCATCAACTTGATCAACTTGAATATGACTTTTTCATAAAGACTGACTGCAGACTATGGATGTCTGCAGAGCATAAGATGCAATTGCTCTAGCATATAAACTTTCAATCTTCTTTAAGTTAGAGGTGAGATCTATAGCAATTTTAAAGGCCTGGAGAGACAAGACTTGTTTAGTCTGAATGACTTGCCTGACATTTAGGTTTCTGATTGGTTAGATCGTATTGTAAGTTAACGTCTGGGTGTGTATCATAAACACTCCTTTTTTTCCGTACCATGAGTTTAAGTGGAGTAGTTTGTGATTTCTCAGAGAAGGAGCCATCATCATTCTGACAATTTTTAATCAGCCAGTTGATGGTGTTGGTCAGCACTTGAGAATCCAAAGAGACGTATTCATGCATGTCAGCAAGAGTCTTGACCATGAGAGCCGTCACCCTAAAAAGGTTTGCACACATGTGCAAAGTAGCATGTGAATTGTACTCTGTACACGTAAAAAAAAAAACATTCCAGCTACCAGTGAGGAAAACTAAGAAAGTGAGCAGTTGATTAC